TCACTTCCAGAGCATGGCACGGCACCAAATGTAACGGTAGAGGAGAAAAATGCAACGGACCAGACCGGGATTCGAATCCCGGTCTGGTCCGCTACATTTTTCTCCTCTCCCGTTACATATATATAGAAGCATACTTATCATAACATATTGATCAATAAATATAAAACAGATACCTTTGTTGCTGAGGAATGACATATAATAAACGCGTACTTAGGTTGATCAGAATTTATGCATACCTTGTGTAATTTCAAATATCATAGACACATTTTCCACACGGTATCCTCAGTGTCTCGGTAAAGATTTAATTAATTTAATATAAATATACTCACTAGAAATCTCCCGAAACATTGTATTAAAAAAAATCATATTTCATACTATTCCCGAAATAAGATTATTATCCGTTTTGATTTTAGAAATATTAATTATATTAATTAAAAATATTAATAAATATTAACATCAATTTATTGACAACATTTATGTAGTCTTAACAGACCCGTACTTCCAACAAACTTTGGGAATTTCGATGGGCACTAATTGTGCTCCTTTATCAGCTGACCTGCTTTTATAATCCTATGAAGCAGAATTTATTCAAAAACTTCTACATGAGAAGAAGAAAAAAACTGCTACCTTCAACTCGACATTTACATTTATCGACGATGTATTATCAATAAACAATAGTTACATCCATTCATATGTTGATTCGATATATCCAATTGAACTTGAAGTATAAGACACCACAGAGTCTGTTACTTATGTTTCATATTTGGTAATTTTACTGACTATAAACGATAGGGGTCAACAAATAACTAAACTGTATGATAAACGAGATAACTTCAACTTTTCGAGCGTCAACTTTCCTTATTTGTGTAGTAATATCCCGCTATCACCTGTATGTTGTGTTTGCATCTCCCAACTTTTTCGATACTCAAGAGCATGCTCCGAGCACGATCAATTTTTAAACCGAGGCAGACCACTGGCAAAATAGCCGATGTAACAACCTTGTTTAAAGTCAGCATTTCTTTAATTCTATTGTCGTAATAATGACATTGTTAGCAAATATAATCTATCAATAGAGCGTATATTGGCTTGTTTCGTAATACCAATTGTAAGGCCATTGTTTTCTTTAGTGAAATTGATTACTGAATGTTCGAAATTCCGTCTATCTGATAAATACATAGGGTTCACAGCGGGTGTGACCAGTCAGAGGGGGATGCTTACTCCTCCAAGGCACCTGATCCCAACTCTTGAACTCCAGGGTCCTCGTTTTATGCCCTCTTCACAGAGTTGTATGTTTATAGATTTTTTGAGATTGATCACTGTTCGTTATCTTCACCTTTTTAATTATAAATGTGCTAAGGTCATTGTCTCACAAAAACACATACAGCTACTTCTGGAGGGTATTCATAAAATATTAAATGGAAAAATTAAGGGAACAAAAATTGAAATAAAGCTTGTCCATCTTAGTAAATCGAATTATGAATTTAGCGAGTAAATTTACTGAAAGATTAAAAAAATCCAATAATTCAATCTGATAGTAAACAAGAGGCCCATGGGCATTAATGGACACCTGAGTATCACGAGTTTTTCAGGCTATATCCACTTTTAGCCCACATGGAACTGGCTAAATAGACTTATATCACATATATTTTACAGTTTGATGATAACTCGTTAATCAAATCGTCTTCAAATTCATGCACTTTGTCCCCTATAAATTGATGAGTAAATGAAATAAACATTGTACATTTGTAATAAATTTCAATACATGACACCCTCCAAACAATTTTAAAGATTTTCTTCTATTCCTTCATGTGATTTAATCCCCAATTGTGCCCCTTCCTTACCCCTACTATAATTAGAAAAAAAACTTGAATCTGCATTACCTGAGGATTTATGCTGTTATATCATGACCCAGCATAAATCCTCTGTTCTGAATGAGCAGAATTTGATGATTTTCCTAGTATATATTCCCATGTAAATATTTTTATCCCTTATTGTGGCCCTATTCCAAGGGTCATGATTTGAAGAAAATCGAATCTGCCATTCTGCACTACCTGAGGATGCTCTCATATAAATATGACTGTCAATGGCTTTTTTGTTCTTGAGAAGAAGACTTTTAAAGGTTTTTTTCATATAAATTCCTATATTAAACTTTGATCTCCCATTGTGGCCCCACCCTACCCGCACGGGTCAAAATTTGAACAAACATGAATCTACACTACCTAAGGATGCTTCAATATAAATATTACCATATATGCTATTCTTGAGAAGAAGATATTTAATGATTTTCCCCATATATTCCTATGTAAAACTTTCATCCTCTATTGTAGGCCCATCCTTCCCAGGGGATCATGATTTGAACAAACAAGAATTTACACTACCTAAGGAACCTTCCATATAAATAACGTCATCTATGGCTCTGCAGTTCTTGAGAAGAAGATTTTTTGAAAATTTTCCTAAATATATTCCTATGTTAAACTTTGATCCCCCATTGTGGACCCACCCTTCTACAGGGAGCATGATTTGAACAAACATGAATCTACACTACCTGAAAATGTTTTCATATAAATATGACCATTTATGGCTTTGTTGTTCTTGAGTAGAAGATTTTTTAGGATTTTACTAGATATAGTCCTATGTAAAAACTTTAATCCCCCATTTGTCCCCACTATATCCTCGGGGCCATGATCTGAACAAACTTGAATCTAAACTAGGTAAGGAAGCTTTCACATTAGTTTCATTTTTTTCTGGCCCAGTGGTTCTTGGGAAGATTTTTAAATGATCATTTAAATGATCCCCCTAATTTGCCTTTTCTTGATTATCTTCCCTTGGAAAGGGGCATTCATAGTAAATGTTAGATAATTATGTCAACGATTATATTCAGTTTTCGACTATCGCTATCGCTATCATACTGACCAGAGACTAAATATTTTTTGCTCGAATAATTCCCAGGATTTATGCACAAACTTCTACATGAAAAGAAGACGTCCCTTGCTGTGATCTTCAATTCAGCATTTAGATATATCGACGACTTTTTATCAATTAACAATATTCATTTTTCATTCCTACGTTGATTTCATATATCCCTTTGAACTCGAAATAAAAGATACCACAGAGTCTGACACATCTGATTCATATCTGAATATTTTACTAGAAAAAGACGCTAATGGTAATCCAAAAACAAAACTTGATGATAAACGTGATAACTTTGTATTGTTTCATTGGACTTTTGAGCTTGATTACTGTTCGTTATTTTTATATATCATTAAAAAATCTTTATAGTATTTGTAAATAAATTAAGAAAGGTCCTCCACTGGAATAGCTGTGTCAAAGCTAGGATCATTTTCTAATGTGGATCAAGAATGAGTACATAATTAGCGTGATAGATGTGTGCGCTCTTTGAACTAATATGAATTTTAGGACTGGATTTGTTGTTTGCATTAAAATACAGGTACATCATAAAGATTTATCGCTCGCATTTTTACGTTTCCAATAATAAGTTTTTTTAACGAAAAATTTCAAAACAAATTTTTGATATATTACAAATTATCCATATCCGCACTTTCTAAAGAAAGTTCACATTTTGTTGTTATGCTGGTCCGTGCCTCCGTCTGTTACACTCTCTTCTTCCTAAACTTTCTCTTACAATTTAAGCAGTAACCAGTTCATCTTTAGGAATATAACTGTGCAACAAAGTTTCACATCAACTTTAATTTTCACTCTGAGGAACAAATTATAGGAGTTGAAAACGATTAACTTTTTAACAAACTCTGGTTCCAAAAACTCCTCTTACATTAATTTCAGCAGAAGCCGAATCATCTTTTGCAAGTTGATTGATGGTGTCCTGTAGATGTGCAATAAGGTTTAGAGAATCTGTTTTCAACCTGGGGGTCAAATGAGGGTTGAAAAACGATTTTATTTATTCATTTTTTTTTTTACAGAAAACTACATTGTAGTTCCAAGAACTCTTCATTCATTTTACCCAGTAGACAAATCATCAAATTTGGGAGGTAATTGTTGGTGTCCTGTAGATATGCAATAAGGTTTCAGACTTATTTTCACTCTGGAAACCAATGGGGGTAAAAAAAAGTTTCTCATTTTACTAAAACCTGGTTCCCAGAACTCTTGCATTATGCATTAGCCATTTCATCATTTGCAAGATGATTGGGGTGTCCTGCACATGTGCAATAAGGGACCGGTTCAGAATTTTCATTTTGACCTTGGGACCAAAAGGGGGATCGCAAACTTAAGAATGTTTTTTTTTTTAATCTTATAAAAAGCTGTTCTCAAAACTCCTCGTATTTTACACGGTAGCCATTTAACCTTTTCCATTAAGGTTTCAGAATTTTCATTATCACCCTTGGAGTCAAATAGGGTTGAAAAATGAGGTTTTCAATTTTACAAAAATCTTGTTTTAAGAACTCCCAATACATTTAGACAGTAACCATTTCATTATTGCAGTATGATTGGTGGTGTCCTACAGATGTGTAATAAGATTTTGGAATTTTCACCATAGGGCCAAATGGGGTCAAAAAATGATGTTTCAAGTTCAAATTTGGGCCAATTTTTTTTCTTCTTCTTAATTCATAAAATAAAACAGAATTTACTTCATTACAATCTTCAATTTCAGACCAGTAATGAACTGAAATACAAACATGAGTGGTCATATGTTGACCATGCATTATATTCTAAATTTGATATATGTATAAAAAAAATTATTTAAATTTACATAGAATAACTTTTGTGGCTCCTTCACTACCATGACAGGTACAAAGGAGCTAGTATTCATTTCAAGGTAAACACTTTTGTGCAGTTTTTACTGTCTTCTGACAGCATCTAGTTTATTTTTATGTTTGTTTTTGGTCATATAAATTATATCATATTTTTAAAATTTACATACAGGAAATAATATAAATTTCTTGACAGAAGAATGTTTAAAATGGCCACACTGGGAGACAAATTAATATCACAATGTTTCTACATGCATAAAAAAGACAAGCATATAAATATTAAAACTATATTTATTTAAAAGGAAAGTGCCTGAAGTTTGGTAAATTTATGTCTTGTATTTCAAATGCTGATAAATCAAATACATGTAGTTCTGTTTCGCAATGGGCATATACATGTATGTTATTTCTCTTCATTTCATTTAAAATCCATTATTTTTATGGGATCAAATTCTGAAGAAAAAAATCATTCTTTGATTTTGGGGTAAAGTGTTGTTAAATAAACAGTCAGGTACTGTATTTTCTAATTTTAACACTTTTTGGAGGACAGGAATTCTTTGATCACTTGTAAAACAACAAAAAATAAGCCTACAGGAAAATAAGTTCTTTTACAGTAGTATTTACAGTTTACATCACAATGTCTCCATAATATACACACATTTATAAACACCATGATATCATTCTTATTAGCTGAAAATGACTTGAAAATACATAGGCCTCAATTATATATAGTCAGACCTGACTCACAATAATAGTTTTTGTTCACAGTTCTGAGGGGTACTCTAAAAAATCGAAAATATCTAGTTATAAACACTAAAAATAAAATAAAGCTTAAAGACAATTTGGTCTGTGTAATTATAATTAGGACTTAATTTTATGATGGAATAATATGTAAACCATCATGGATTATTAACTTGAAAATAAAATGGAATGATAAAATATTGTAAAGTAACTAAAACACTACTTTTGATTAATCAAGGTGATAAGGTGAAAAACACTGACACATGATAAGGGGAAAAAACACTGACACACAATGAAATATGCTGACATTTTGTAAGGAAATATCTAACTAAGCCATGACATTAATGTTAATTAAATGTCAATGATAGTAGTTAAAAACATGTTTGGTAAAGATAGGGGGTAATAATTATGAGGAACAACACAATAAATACTGATTTTTTCACCTTAAATAACATGACATAAAAAGCCAAAATATTTTAAAATTAATAATACCTTTAGTTTGTAACTAGTATATGTGTGAATATTAAGATGTTTTTTTCTCTTTGGCAATGTCTTTATTATATGACATTTCTTTCTCTGAATCTCTATTCCGTTTGGTTATCTGTTTTCCGTAAGACGACCCCTTCTCCAGCTGAGTAAATCCAATCATGAATTTAGCAAGTAAATTTACTGGAAGAAAAAAAATCCATCAATTCAATATTATATGATATCTTTGGCATATACATAGTATTGCATGTGACCAGTGCACAAGTACTTGGGAATTCACAACATTACATATGACTGTTGGACATGATTTCTTAGCAAAAATGAAATGAAACTCTCTGAGATTATAGGTATAAATTACATAAATATAAAACACTAGTAATTTTTTTTTCAAAAAATGACAGTTCTCATTTTATGTTAGAAAAGTCAAAGTTCTAATCATGAACAACAAGCTCATTAAATTCATGTGTAAGAAAAGAGGAGACTGTAGACTGTGACAGCAATTGAAATCAAACTAATAGATAAGTATTGAAACAATTTTTCTCTTCATAGTAATTTGTTGTTTTAATGAACTTTATTTATTTTTGTATGTAATATTTAAGAATTAAATAAATGAAAGAACGAATTTTTGCTAGCGGACAGTCTTGCTTCAGTTGGCAAAAAAGTTCTCATAAATAGAAAAAGATAAAAAGATAACATTACAGTAACTCCAAAAAAAAAACTAAAAAATTAGTATTGTATGAAGTCAACTCACCTGAAACAAATACTAAGACTACAGTAATTTTATGAAGAAGACTTCCATAGAAGAGTACATTGACTAGGTAAAAGAATAATGGCACAAGTGTCACAATGATCCAGAATAAATGAACAACTAGGTCATTATAACGTTTTGGTATTAAGAATCCTGGTCGATCCAGCTCTTTGGTTTGATAAAACTTTTCCACTACTTCATCCTGCAGAAAAAAATTAAGAATATATCTTTTGTGAACAAGTAGAAACTAAAATTACTTTTCAGCAGAACTGCTAATTTAAAAAAAACAAACTAATATGTTGACGGTGCGACCGTTAGGGCGAGCGCAGATACTTTTTCAGTTTTAATTAACATTCAAACCGCACGTGACATTTGGTACGTCGATCTAGACTCTGACGTCTCATGACGTTGTATGTAAGTTGCATTACCAAATCGAAGCCTGAACAGTGCTAGTTTTAATGAAGAATATTTAATCTACTGGGTTTTTTCTGCAATAAGTATCCATGATTAAATCAATGTTATGTTATTTTTTGTTGAACTTTTGTTGCCACCACGAGAACGTAGTCTGCGGCAAGATGCAATTCGCAGAGCATTATGGGACCACAGGTTACTGCGGAAAAAAATTCGTTTGGATCAATGTGCAAAGTCCAAATTTTCTCTTCGCCCAGGCGTTGCTTTAAGAGCTCACAGTGACGGGCAGCACTTTGCGCCGCTCGCTGCGCTCGCTATAACTTAATTTTTTGCCTCTACTTTTATACCAAAATTGAGTTTGAAACTTTAAATTTATACTTTTAAACTTTCATCACAAAACAATTCACATTAATGGAAATATGCAGACAGAAAAGTTAATATTTGATTAAGAAATTCTTGACAATATCTTGGAGAGAGATTATTGAACAAATCTCATCAAGAAAAAAAAGATAGAAAATGATGCACTTTCATACAAAATGATACTCTATTTGACAGATTCTTATTTTGAGATTAATGACCACTCTTCAGACAGATTTGCTTGTCAGAATGTGCTTTGAAAGATTGATTCCTTAATACTGCTTCCAAATGTGGTAGTTGTACTTAGTTTTATTTTATTTTAATTAATGCTATATACTTTATTTCAGGAATTTCATTCATTCATTCATCCATACATTTACATAAGTGCTGTGTCTGCATTAATAATATATTGTTATTTATTTATATGTTTAAAATCATAAACATCCCTATTTAAATAATGGTTTAACCCAAAGACTATGGGTTAAGGTAGATATATGGATTAGTCTATTTATAAATAAGGGTATTATCTGTTTTCATACATTCTATTGGTCAGTAGGCATTGTTTGATCAGAGATGTCTATTCAGGCTGGAAACCTTTGTTTTATTATTCCATTCAGAGATACTGTCTGAGAAGGGTGTAGCTAGAGATCTGTGATTGCTTAAAATTTAATATTTGATATTTTGGAGTATATTAAACACCCATAAACTGTAAGTAAACCTTTTATAAAACACATCTAATGATCATAAACTAAAATTAAAGATAATGAATGAAAATAAAGTATTTTAAATTCAAATTTGCTAATGAGTATGAATGTGCTAGAGTGAAAGTTATAAAATTATTAAAGTTAAGACTGATATTGTAAAGTAGGAGCAAGTTATGTTTTAAGCTAATTCATGTAGATCTTTGGAATTGAGATCTGGGTTTGAATTATTATGATTTTATAATTTATTAATCTATTAGGTCATCATGTAATAACTCATAAAGTCATCCTGATTGAGAGAATACAGTGTTATCACTCAGTTCCATACACTGGTATGTTTAACTCATATTTTTAAAGTATTATAAATATTTCAGTATAGAGAAATATTATTCATATTAATTAATTCAATAAGTTTCAAAGAGTTATCGCCCTTTGAATGCGTTTGTATGAAGTGTAAATTAATGGCCTAAATGAATGTTTTATGTGTTTTAATTGTGATCGTTTTGTGTTGTAAAGTGAATGTGCTTGTTTATATGTTGTCTACGTATTTATACGTTGTTATTTTAGGGTTGATTGAAACATTTATTTCATCTATAAATTCAACAGTTTGAAATCAACTATCTCCAGGGAATAAATAAGAATCCAACCCTATATACCGTCTTGTCTATATTTGATCTACAAGAACTGGTTACACAAATACAGAAATTTTTTCAATACCTTTTCTTTAAATAAATTCCTTAACCACTCGGACAGTTCTTCCTCTGAGTCTGGAAGGTCTTTTACCTCATGTCGCCTTTAACAAAATGATACATAGTGATAACAGAGCAACAAATTTTGTTAGATTTTTGGTCGATCATTATATTGAAGAGGTTTAGCAACCTCACCTGTACGTGTACTTGTACGTGTAAACTACAAGTTAGAATTACATGCATACGTTAACATTATCTTAATTTCTTGTTTAGCAATGTATAACGTGTTTGTGTACTTGTGAGTGTTTTAAATGTAGAAGTCCTTATCATTAAAAAAATTAGAAAACACCTGAAATTTTATATGTGTATCACTGTTTTAAATAAATATATACATATATTTAGAAGAAAAAAAAGGAAAAGAGCTTTCATAATTTTAATCTGTCAAAGCTTGTTTTGAAAGTCTAGATGTTGTATATTTAACACTCTATAAAATAATATTTTTCAATTATAGATGTTTAGTTCTTTATATCGGTATTTGTATTAAATCTTCAGGTTTTAGAAAAATCCTCACTTTTATTGAAATAAACAGCAGATAAGGAAATATAAGCTAAGGAAATATAACCTACAAGTTTGGACTTACATGTACATCTACACATAAGTGGATACACGTCGAAATTTGTCAATAGCAAAACTGATGACGTAAAACACATATTTCTGGGGGAATCCCCTGCTACACATACACGTATACGTTGGTTTGCTAAACTTCTCTATTAACTCAAGTATTCATTTTAGTTCTTTCAAAGGAAATAAGCTTGATTCATATATAATGAACATTAACAATAGAAAAAATGGAGGAAAAAGGTCATTTCTTATTTGATACTAAAATATGTTAGATTAGAAGAATGATCTGTAAGCTAATGTGAAAAATATTTCTGGATTTAAAACTTTTGTGCAGGTTGTATACCTGGCTCGGATTCTACTCATGATCTTCTTCCCTTCTAGCACGTCCATTAGAGACGGGTAACCTTCATCAAACACCACAGTAGCATCGTATACCGCATTTACTGAAAAACCGACAGGAAAAAACTCCATAATATTTGTCAATTGAAAAGGAAATCATCTGCTTTTCAATAATTTCTTTAGGTGGTATCCTTGATTTAAGTTAAGTACATACATTTTCCTTTAAGTTCCTGTATAGAGTAGGCAAAACCCTTGGGTCTTGGCAGAAGATGGTGTTTCATTATTGGGTATCCTTTTTCTTTGGCAACAATTTGACTGTTTTCTAGTTTCTGTGGAGTTAGCCTTGTTCCCTCTGGGAACAGCAGCAGCTGATTATGATAGAAAACAAAACAAAAACAAATAAAACATCTCTTAAGACTTTAAATGATAACACCCAATTGTACATGTTCTCGAGAGCATATAATTGTTTGAAAATTTTTTTTTTTGGCTTTCAAATTATTAGAATTAACAAATAATAAATTAATCAGCAGTTCTATAAACTCAAATTGTACAAATCAAGATATTATCCATATAACAACTGATACACTATTAATGTACGAGAACCAGAAACTACATGTATATACTGTAACTCACTTTTCATTTGCAAGAACCTTATTTTCGCCCAATTTGTTTTCTTGTGAAAATTTCCTTTTTGCATATATTCTTATTAGTAAAGATTATATAGGACAATAGTCAGAATTTTTGAGAATTTTGTCTCACTGATAGATGCTAAACACTCATCTCATGGAAATAAGGTGTCACGAATATTCGGTGATGTACAGTATTCATAATGAATGCAATCTAATTCATAAGTCTCTAATATATATAATATAATTATTTATGTGACTGGCTAAACTGAGAGAAACTCTTACCGTGACCCAGTAGTTGTTCGGATATTCCATGGCTGTCCGGACTCCCTCTTGGATTATCTGTTTATCCTTAGTCCAGTCTCTCTTCAGGAACAGTGACTCCGTGAACCACCACGCCCAGCCAATCAGAGGAATGAACTGTAGGACTTTCTTTCCATAGATCTTTGTCGCCTGAAACCGAAAATGTCTCAATTTTGCTGAAAACTGCATTTTTTTTTTTTTAATAGCCAAATATATAAATATATATATATATATATATATATATATATATATATATATATATATATATATATATATATATATATATTTATTTATATATATACTAAATGAAATCCCGCGCAAGCGCGGGTAATTGAATTTATACCACTACCGAAAGAAAATATATTGTAGTTTCTACTGACAGCGTACAGGCTTATAGCAGGAAGAAATACTTTGTTCAAAATCCCGCATGTGCGTCTCCAACCACCCCCACCCCCTTTTGTAAAAACTTGAAAAAATAACAATTTCATTAATTGATATTTATTGTGAAACCTGTTATACTATGTTATGGATATTGTACTTCAGATGCTCTTATTTCATTTCCGTCAAGGATCAAAGCAGCGAATATGCACATTTTACTGATAGTTTTTTTTTTTGGGGGGGGGGGGGGTAAAAATTCACAGGTATTCGGGTCTTGGTTTATAAATATGTATGTACCTTTTTGATATGTGAAAAATGTACTTTATCTTTTTTACATATCAATAAGGTACATACATATCTATAAACCAAGATGCAAGTACCTGTGTAAAAATTAGCTTTTAACGCCCTATGAATAGGCGGAATATTTGATACAAAAGACTGTATACAGAAAAAAAACTGAAATGTATCGATTAAAGCACAAAATTTTACAGCTTTAATTGTATTTGAGCAATATCTTATTCATAAATTTCTCTTTTCATGTAAGCAATTTTATTACAAAGTAGAAATTGTACTTCGGGCTCAATGCTATTGATGTTCTAGAAGCTTCCGTCAATATTAAGATCGGTGAATGGCAAAAATAATTTGCACATTTCCCTTTTTAATCGGTTATCACAACTTATTTCTTTTATGTCATTTAAATCAAGTTTTGATTGAATAATTCAGTGATGACGTTTTATGAAATAAGTAAAAGACTGATTGTTGTCAGTTTCATTGAAAATTGCCAGAAACTTAGATCCGCCAACCGGAAACGCCACCGTACTCATGTTTTTGCTATTTCATGGCTTTTTATAGAAAATAAAAGTAGACTTTTAATTTAATGTACGATACTTACAATGCCAGTGAAATCTAAATATAGTTTACGGACATCATATTGTATCTAGTGTATTCTTAGAGGAGTAAGTAAAAACTCTGGTGCATCGGTTTCGGAGTTTATTTGCAAAATTTATTAATTTATAAGTATAGATATCTATAATGCTGTGCTAGCTAATTGTTTCTGATTAGTTCTAGATCTGATTTCTACTTAAAGTTCTTGTGGAGAAATGCCAATCAGAAAAACACTGACTGGCAAAAATGGCCAGAGTTATATTGTTCTCGTACATGTACAGTAATAAAAACTTTAATATTAAAGGTTTTTTTTTTAAACATGAAATCCAGCCATTTTTCTTTGTTCCATTTTTCAGTAAAAAATATATATGTTTTATCATTCTTCTATTCTCTCAGATAAAATTTGTCTTTAATGATTTTGATTTTCAAAAAGAAGTTTTAAATTAATTTAAAAATTCAAATGTACACAAATTCATTTCAACCAGTGAGAGTTATCTCTCTTATCAGTGGGTCAATGAACCTTAAGCCTTACCCCCAGCATTCTTAATCTTTCTGATAATATCCAAGCCATCAGCCAGTCTATTTCGTATTTGTGGTTCATGATGACCATAATGTGTTCACGACCAAGATGTTTTCTTTCCTCTGGGTCCATGTGTAACACACATTCACAACCAGCCCACCACTGTCCAACACTTGTAAACTCTGATCAAAAAGAACAAAAAAACTCTATAAATTTTGGTTCTGTACAAATGAGGAGTACTTACTTAAAAGTTTTCAGTTTAAGAGGATGTAATTTCATGAACAGAGGTCTAGTTACAGTACCTGAAACCCTCTACTTTCATACTTGCAAGGTGAGCAAACAGTGAGTGTGTGGTAAGTGAGTTTATAAACATCAATATTGGAGGAGATTACAAATTTGTGGGTGAAGATTACCCACAAATTTCATGAAAAGTGAACCCCAAGTAAAATAGATTAATTCAACAGTATTTTTATTTTTTTTCCTTTCAATTTAAATATTTGATGTACTTACGACACCATGAGGCATACGCCAAATAGTAGTTGATTTTCCTAAAGAGGGTTTTGTCAAATGGCCATATCACAAGGGTCAAAAGCTGGATAAAGTTCAGGATAAGTGTGCTGACAAAGAATATATAGGCAAACAGCAGGAACCAGATAGGCCAACTCTTCCAGTTCCCCATCATTCAGTCTGTAAAATGGAATTTCATGGATTTGATATTCTTCCCTAATATTGACCAATTTTTACAGCTGAAAACTGTGACATGACAAAAATTACATCACTTAGTTTGCAGTTTTCAACTAATATTAATTGGTGAAATATTTCATCATGCCTGAAAAATTCTGGACAAGACATAATTATTGAAAGCAACAAAGCAAACTATTAAAGCATCTATTTTAAGCTTTAACCAAATATCTGTAGTATGTTTTCCTGCACTCACATGGCTTACTAATAAGTTTTACTTAATTTCAATTTACAAAAAACACCAAGTTTTTTTTTTTCTTTTTTTTTTTTTGACTGTGTGACACATTATAGCAACTCTATGCAGGTAACCTTCTAATCCTTTGAGGATAAATTATCTAATCATGCAGTGTTCAAAATCATAGTAGACACAATAGTCCTAGATAGCTCTACAAAGTTGAATGTACAGATAGTGCTCTCAATATTCTTAGATTTGTGATCATACAATTACTTCTTGAATAAAATTATAAAGGAGGTCAGTTATGGTCAACAAGATGATTGGTAAAGATTCAGCACAAAGAAATACTTATCCAGTCCTCACCACATACAAGGTAGTGTACAATTACTCAAACAATGGAAATTCATCTTTTGTTTAAAAGTATTCAAAATCTGCAGTGTTCGAACTATCTTTGATTTGGGTTGCTTTTTTGATAGCCCATATAACATATATGAATAGTCATATTCTTGCGACTTTTGGTCCATTTCTTACAAAAAACATTTTTGTGAAAAACTGGATATATAAATAGCTTTATCAAGCTATTTTGAATAGCTTAATCGGGGTTGAAATTCTCTTGGAAAACCCACTAATTTTGTCAATGAATAGATTAATCAGGGGTTGAAATTCTCTTGGAAAACCCACTAGCCCAGGAGCTTCTAGCTGAACAGTAATAAAAAATTACTAGCCCTAACCTCAAACTAACTAGCCCAACAATTTTTTATGCAAAACGAAAACATAAAACAAGTTAAAGTTTCAAATGCTGTGGTGATCAACAAAAACAAATTAAACTACAATGTACATTCAAAAGAAATCAGTCTGCATAGAAAAGCAGAAGTAAACTGACGAGAATTTTTTTTCAATTTCTTCTAGTCAAACAGACTATCATTACATTTAAAATTAGCTAGCCTGAGTCTTAAAATGACTAGCCCCGGGCATCAGGCTACCGTATATTTCAACCCCTGTTAATAAAACTATATGGATAGCTATTTCAAGTCATATAGCTAAACCAAGAGATTGTGCTCAGTGGCGTAGCTGCCATTAGGCACTTAAGGCACGTGCCTACAATTAATTTTTCAGAAAAAAATTATAGAAACAAAACTGTAAAAAAGAAAGAAAATCAATAACTAAATATCATTTTCGCCATTGATAGAAAGATCATTAATGTATAAATAACCACCGATCTGTGCAAAGTATAATAATAACCTGCAATAGTTAACCGGCTGTTTCACTATAGGACTCCTTACAAAATGTCTTTAAAATTTCTACATGCAAGTAATTAGATATAGATATAAAACTCCCTTGATGGTAACAAGATGTGTTATGTGTATGTGTGGTTAGTGTCATTCTAATTAATAAGTAATTAATTTGGATTAACAGCAATTAACCTTTTTTGTGATTGTCTACCCCAATTTACCACTTTTTTGTGGGTATAGACTAGTTTTTTTTTTTGTTTTGTTTTTTTTTTTTATACATGTATAAAAAAATATATTTGTTCATTATATATTTAATTTTGAATACATTTTAAATAACTTTCTTCATGTTCTTAATTTGATTACGCCGAAAAAATATGAAAACTCTCATAACTAAAGATTTGTGCTAAAAAAATTGGACTGCACTTTTTTTTCAATCTTTTCTTAGACTACTTAATATGACATTTCATTTTAAAGAGATCCAGAATATTGTATCTTAAATGCCCAGAATTGTTCACCCAGGGGTCTCAAAATCGTGAAATCTATTTTCCGTCGGAGGGGGGGGGTTCGCCCCCCTGAACCCCCTACCAGGTCACTGCCCTGGACCCGCCGCACACAGGGTAATTTGTGCCTATACTTCATTAAAGTTCTAGTTACGCCCCTGGTGCTGGACCAGTTAGCTGTCGTGATGGTTTTTCCTTGGACAAAGTTAGATTATCAGGTCCCGCACAATGTTTTGATTATGTTATGTAGCTTGAAAAGTGTGATGAAATAGCTAAATCAAGCTATAGCCTATAGCTAAATCACGAGCTATGTGCCGGACCTGATTAGTTTAACTATTTGAAAGGAGCAGCAAAAAGAAAATCTAAAAATAACTTTATATAGCCTAATAGCCTCCATTCAATAGGAAATGTTCATAAACCTTTTGTAAACACCAAAGCTGCAACAAACGCCCGTATCTAAGATACAACACACACGATCAACTTGAACCCCGTAATCAAGTTACATTGTAGATGTATAGATGCAAACTGAAGTTATTAATTCGCATTTTTATGATTCTATAAAGCCTGCACAATATCAAATTTCCCCAAAACAGTCTACAAACACAAACGTTTACTAAATTTACCTAGTTTGGCAAATGGCAGTGATTTTTGGACTTTGGATATTGGCTTATTTACTTTTGGTTGTCGTAAAGAGTAAATAAACAAATTAATATAGTCCTATCTTCAAATTATCATTATAATTAGAATTGATAAAAACAATATCACTTGTTTTCAAATTTTAGGGTTTTAAAAAAAATCCTCATTTAAAATTTTTCTTCCGCTTTACGACAACTGTAGGAAACCGGATTTCGTCTAAACGTGGGTTATGATGATGAAACATAGTTGACACACCATATTTCTACAATTTCTGATTATAGAGGAGGGTTTTGAAAAATTAAGGAGTAACGCAGGTATTTTCAATGTCATTTTTAATCCATATATTCATTACTTGAAGAATATTTATTTAAAAGCATTAGACAACATGACCGAGTTGGATCTCGGAATCATGATAGGGCAATGTGGATCACCACTGAAAATATAGGGTCCTACTTAAGTAAAAGTAAATGCATGGAAAAGGTGAAGAGATGAATTAGATTTTATAGATTATGCACAACCAATCAGTCAGGTTAATGAAATTGTTACTATTATCTCACACTAGCAGTTGATTTGCCTAATATTGTATTCCTAAAGTCATACTCTCTGCTATTGAGACTCTTTTGTTGGTATTGCTGTAGATACCCTATTGATAAATCGCCATATCTTCTATTATGAGAATTTTATCTGAGTTAACAGGGTTTGACATTAATTATCGTGATTATAATATGTCCGACGGTGAAACCGTTAGGGCGAGCGCAGTTCATTTTCTAAAACTACACATCTTCTCAAATGTTTTACATTCTGCTTATTACACTTTTATCGCGCGTTTACTGTGTATCGTACATAATTTTTTTAAAACCGTTATTGAAGTATATATTCTCTAACGTTGCAGACTCCCCATGCATCGGGATCGAAATTCCTAACTTCTCGGATATTTCCGACAAAATCGGAAATACCCGAGTTGTTAAAGTGACGAAAATATGATGTCACATACAAAGTCCTGTGTACCAAGGATGCAAACGATAGTTTTGTGGGCAGTTATGGCATGGAAATTGAATTAAATCGTTGTTTATTATTTTTTTCAAGTAAGTTGTTGCTATGCTTAAGCCACCATGTTGCTATGCACCGCAAAGGATTATTGGGAGTATAGAATATTTTCACGTGGGACGATAAAAATTTCTTTGAACAATGTGCAGATTTCAACTCGAATTTCCTCCGTCCGTACACGTTGTCTATGGAGCTCGCTATGTGAGCGGTGCTTCGCGCCGCCTCTCTGCGCTTGCTATTAACTTCTGTGAGTACGAGACCAGTCGGGCTACTTACCATAAATTTTACAAGCCTTGACCATAAATATGATAAAACCACCAGCTCTAACATATTTTGCAAATTTACTAAATGTGCTAGTTTTAATGAAATGAGTTTGGAAACAATATTTTGATATTATATAAATAGTGCACGTTTTTGAGGGTAACAGTTGAAATTGACACCCCAAGGAAAACCATTGTCAACCAACGCGTCAGCGGAGGTTGACAATGGGTTTACGAGGGGTGTCAATTTCAACTGTTACCCTAAAAAATGTGCACTATTTATTTTATTATACTGAATGTCTTATTGATTGCGGATGTCATAAAAAAGATTCGGAGATCGTCGTTAAGTTCATGCTTAGAAAGCTTTCAAACTCCCCGCTTCTATTTTTCTCAATAAGAAAGCTTCGGAAAAGATTTATCAACCTCTTTCTTGTTTATTTGCTACTCAAGAAGTCCTTTATCATCTAAAGTTTGCACTCGCAAGGATGTTTGTCTGTCGTTTTTGTTTTCAAGTAAGCTACATCGGATGCAAGCTTTTATTGACGTTGTTTATTCGGCTTCTTTCAAACGCCCAACCGACGTTTTGAGAATTCTACGGTGAACCGCATGATTTGAACGCATGTGACATTTTGTAATGTTACCCGTTGTCAAGTGTGTTGCTAATGCTGAGGGTAACATAATGGATTGTTAAATGCGTCTAAACCAATCAGATTTTAGTATGTAACATGAAAGTATGATTTATAAAAGATATTGTTTAATGCATGCTAGGGAAGATCGAATATCGATATGAAAAAATAAAAGTAATAAAATGATATATTGACAGTGCAACTGTTAGGGCAGGCACAGATACCTTCATTGTACCTATTCATGATCGGCCGGGTCTCTAAACCACACATGACATTTGGTACCGTATGTCTAGACTCTGAAGTCACATGACATCGTATGTAAGTTGCATTACCAAAACAAAATCTGAACATTGCTATAGTTTTAATTAAAAAAACATTTAATTTACTGTTCTTCTGCAATAATCATTAAATCAATGTGATTTTATGTTTTAATTGTCGAAATTGTAACTACTGCGACAATGAAGAGGCGAATCTAAAACTGAATAGGTACATTCACACAGGTGACTGCAGGAAAAAATCATTTAGATCTATGTGCAAAGTCTGAATTTTCTCTTCACCCAGGCGTTGCTTTAGGAACTTGCAGTAACAAGCGGTGCTTCTCACCGCTTGCTGCGCTCGCTATGATATACTGTAAGGCAACTTTTATTTGCGTGAGAGAATTATTCATGAGTTTCGCGACCTACTTTAACTCGCGAATATTAATTGCTGCAAACCATTTATTTTGCTTTGTATTTGACGTAGAGAATAATTCCTCAGTCGTGGAAATTAATCGTTGCGAATTGATTTCAAACTGACGAATCATGAATAGAAGATGACTGTCACATGAATAATAGTTGGTTTACAGTATTGTATTGATACACATCACTTTTCCTTTCTGTTTTATAAAAAGTAATAAAATATAATTTATCAAAACTTATCACTGTAATATTTTTGAAAATAAATGCAAAGTTCAATGTTCAAACACAACCTTAATGAAATATCAATTTGTACTGTAAACATGGTACACAATTTTTTTGAAAATCAAGCAATTAAATGATGTGAATACTATGATTTTCAAGCACTATTTTAAAAAAAGGATATTTCAGATTGCTGTACCAGTTATCATGATATACTAGTATATCAATCATTACATTCCTACTGGACAAGTATCAACAATTTGACTGACTGTTCACTAAATTGTGGCCAGTTGAGTCGGGTTTATTCAGACATGTGAATATAATATGAATATGAGAATATAATTATAAGTATTGTAATTGTATAAAGATCAATCCAATAAACTTCAATCATGTTTTATGAAATTACTTTATTGTAAATAATTATTTATTATTATAGGTCTGAATTCAATTTTTTTGTTTTAAAGATCTGCAGTCCTATATTTAAGATTAATATTCATATTCATTTGTGTTGAGGGTGTCAGGTTTGATTTTGCATTTGTATATAATTAATAAGCATTGTATAAAGATCAATCCAATGAACTTCAATCATGTAATTTAAAAAAATTCAGATCTATAGGCAACACCAATTTAATTTCTTGTTCGTTGGATATTTGATGCAAAAAGGTACGAGCGGGCATGTGCTTAAATAATGATATTATTACTTTTTTGTAGGCAAAATTCTTATTTGTATAGTTTTGCTTAAATACTAGTGCGCGGGTCCGATGAACAAAAAATTTTATTGGTGTGGCCATAATAATAAATTATTTTTTACAAGAAAGTAATTTCATAAAAATATTGATTTTGTTGAAATGTACTTGATATAAAATGAGATCTTCCGACATGTCTTTGTCGACTGGGGAAGGGGGGGGGGGTAATTTGGTGCATGGTGTAACACACTCCATATGTCTCTATTACTCTTCTTATTAAGATTAGAAAAAAAAATCCTGAACCTGTTATATTTTTAAAAGAAAAGTTAGGACTGAATTCTATTTTGACAAGAATATCTTACACTATGATTACATACAACATTAATTTTTCTTGGCTCCTGTTTTTTTTTTTCTTCTAGTCAGAAGCTGTTTCTTTAATTCACTGTACATATTATCTTTTTAAATTAAGTCACATTAAAATGCCTTGAAATTGAATGATATTTCTTGACTCTCTTAAACCCCATTACTCATTGACAATAACAATTTCCCTTTCTGTAGTAATCACTTGTAGAGTGTATCTTATAGATGGAGCAATTCACACTACCTCTGTCATGTGCCCACTATGTAGACCTGCCCCCAGGATCATGGATCAGCAAATTTAATTAATTAAACTTAAATTTCTATCATCTGTAACTATTACTTGTGAACTGGAAATTTTTACAGACATAGCCGTTTGATGATGCAATTTTGAATAGCATATTTATCTTGGACTGTTTATCTGACTTCTAAAACAAACAGATTTTGACTTATTAGGATGTTTTATGATCCTGGGGCCTGAAGGGATTTCTTAGTAATTATGGCATTTGTGTGGAATATAATTTGAAACATGATTAATGATAGCAACCCAAAAATAGATATGAAGTCACCAAAACATTTGATTTTTAGCTCACCTCGACGAAGTCGAGATGAGCTTATGCTATACCCACAGCGTCGGCGTCGGCGTCGGTGTCGGCGTCGGCGTTAGCGTCGGCGTCCCAGGTTAAAGTTTTAGGAGCAAGTCCCATTCCCAAGTAACTATAAGCCCTACCTGGACCAAACTTGCATGGATGATGCATCTAGGGATGGACACTACCACACTTGCTTCGGATGCTGGATCTGACCTAGATTTTCCAGATGAGTGACCAGGTTAAAGTTTTAGGAGCAGGTCCATTCCCAAGTAACTATAAGCCCTACCTGGACCAAACTTGCATGGATGATGCATCTAGGGATGGACACTACCACACTTGCTTCGGATGCTGGATCTGACCTAGATTTTCCGGATGAGTGACCAGGTTAAAGTTTTAGGAGCAGGTCCATTCCCAAGTAACTATAAGCCCTACCTGGACCAAACTTGCATGGATGATGCATCTAGGGATGGACATTACCACACTTGCTTCGGATGCTGGATCTGATCTAGATTTTCCAGATGAGTGACCAGGTTAAAGTTTTAGGAGCACGTCCATTCCCAAGTAACTATAAGCCCTACCTGGACCAAACTTGCATGGATGATGCATCTAGGGATGGACATTACCACACTTACTTCGGATGCTGGATCTGACCTAGATTTTCCGGATGAGTGACCAGGTTAAAGTTTAAGGAGCAGGTCCATTCCCAAGTAACTATAAGCCCTACCTTGACCAAACTTGCATGGATGATGCATCTAGGGATGGACACTACCACACTTGCTTCGGATGCTGGATCTGATCTAGATTTTCCAGATGAGTGACCAGGTTAAAGTTTTAGGAGCACGTCCATTCCCAAGTAACTATAAGCCCTACCTGGACCAAACTTGCATGGATGATGCATCCAGGGATGGACACTACCACACTTGCTTCGGATGCTGGATGTGACCTAGATTTTCCACATGTGAGACCAGGTTTAGATTTAGGAGTAGTCTCGTTTCCAAGTAACTATAAGCCCTACCTGGACCAAACTTTCATGGATGATGCATCTAGGGATGTACACTAACCAACCTGCTTCAAATGCTGGATCTGACCTAGATTTTCCACATGAGTGAATTTTAGCCATATTTTAACCAAATTAGCATGGATGATGTATCTAGGGATGGACACTTCCAGACTTGCCTTGTATTCTGAATCTGATGTACATTTTCCAGATGAGTGACCAGGGTAATTTTTTGGAGTAGCTATATAATATTATGGCCTGTTATGATTAAACTTGCATAGATGGTGCATCTAAGAATGAAAACTTCCAGACTTGCTTTGGATGTTGGAAGTGACCAAAATTTTCTTGATTACTAAACAGGTCAAAAGTTTTTTGAGCAGGTCTATAATTAAATCAAACTTGCATGGACATTGATCTTGGGATGTACCCTAACTAGAAAAAAAATATGATGTGAAATTCGCCTTACATGTAGATAACATTCGTCGAGGTGAGCTTCGTAATCTTTGATTACCTATGTTTTGTTAAGTGCATTCATACTTACCTATGATCATGATCATGTGCATTGTGTTTGACAACATACTGTATATTTCTGTCACTCAATGATCATTACAATATATTTATTAAGAGCACATAATTATATATTATTTTATATTTGTAATAATAAGTGTATACTCATAAGCACAGACAGGTAGCCAAATGATTTCTAATAATTAATTATTACACCTCATTATACCAGAAAAGCAGACATGTTGCCCTGAGGGGCATATTTCATCATTCATCTAATCAAACAGGAAGCGAAGAGAATACATGCATATTTTAAGATTGACATTCAGGTCTATGTAAACAATTGGTGCTACATGTATATTGTACAAATACATGTATATATCTGTTGAACTTGAAAGGCGAGAACTTCTTTCACAAAATATTCTAAAAAGAAATGATAGGTATTGACTGTTGAGTTGACATATTCATTGATAAGAATTAACCAAGATTGCATCATGCTGTATATATATATATGTCTAGAAACTGATTGTTTACAACATACTTAGCTATGGTGAATATTTGTTGAATTCAATTTCAAAATAATTTGGATTTTTAATTTTCTTCAGTATGGATGTCAATGGTTTGACTGAGAAAATGGCATCTACATCTGTTTCACTTTCACCAGAAGAGAAATTGGAGATCATCAAAAGGAACCTGCAGGTATATCATGTATACAGGGCAAATAGTCAAAACTAAAGGATACTCTTGAAGAGTTCCTTTTCTCATGAATTGGAAATACACTGTAACTCACTGACCATTTTATGAAATACATTGTACTAGTGTTTTGGCTGTAGTCTAAAAAGGCAAAATAGTTGTTGAACTTTTTGAGCATAACTGTATATATAGAAGAGATTGTTGTTCATTCATTGCAGGCTTTTCATGTTATGAACAAAAATATTTGGTATAGTGCACCTCGGAATTTAGTGGGAAAGTGAATTAATTAATAAGTGTTAATACAATGAGGTATTGTAATTAAGCATGTCAAGTCAATTTAGATAAGTCTTATGGATCACAGTAAAACATTTCATTAAAAGTGAACAGAGATAACACCTTCCATTTTAACTTGATCAATTCCATTTGATCAAAAGCTCTGTGTGGTTGTTAAGTACAAAAAAGACAACTGAAATCTATGCATACTTTAAACACTTTATTTTCCAATTCTTACCAAATGCTTGTTAAAGAAACCATTATATATCTGGCATGTCTTAACAACTGTTTGTTAAGAACACGAAAAATAAGCTGAAGGAATTCTTAAGTAATTGCTTGTTAAATAAAATTAAGTAAAACTGTTACACTTTTATACAGAGTTTTAACAACTGTTTGTTAAGACTACCCAAGGAATTCCCCAAGATATATTCTTAACAACTGGTTGTTAGAAATGCAAAGGAAGACAAACAGAATAAAGTCTTAACAACTGCTTGTTAAGAATACCAAAAGAATTTCACAAGATATATTCTTAACAACTGGTTGTTAGGAATGGAAAGGAAGACAAACAGAATAAAGTCTTAACAACTGCTTGTTAAGAATACCAAAAGAATTTCACAAGGTATATTCTTAACAACTGGTTGTTAGAAATGCAAAGGAAGTCAAACAGAATAAAGTCTTAACAACTGCTTGTTAAGAATACCAAAAGAATTTCACAAGATATATTCTTAACAACTGGTTGTTAGAAATGTAAAGGAAGTCAAACGGAATAAAGTCTTAACAACTGCTTGTTAAGAATATCAAAAGAATTTCACAAGGTATATTCTTAACAACTGGTTGTTAGAAATGCAAAGGAAGTCAAACGGAATAAAGTCTTAACAACTGCTTGTTAAGGATGCTAGAAGTTGGTCCCTGGAATCCTCTTAAAATTTGTTAGAGACCAGGACAAAAATTGACAATGAATGAAAATGAATGAAGAATAGCACAAACAAGTTTAAAGAAATATTCTTAACAACTAGTCGCTAGAGGAATAAGGTTAGGCAACTCAGGAAACATAAGAAAAATGTCTTAACTTAAAAAAAAAAGATTCCTGATTCCTGAATAAGTCTAAACCCTAACAACTGGTTGTTAGAAATGTAAGATAGCTTCACGAAAAGTCTTAAACCCTAACAACTGCTTGTTAAATATAGCTTCATGAAGAAGTCTTAACAAACAGTTGTTAGAATACAAAGGGAAGTCAATTCAGAAAACTGAAAGACAAATGTCTTAACAACTGTTTGTTAAGAATTTCACAATTAAGTTAATATGTTTAATCAGTTAATTGCAAAGAAAATAAGTCTGAAAACAACTGATTGCTAAGAATAGAATATAAAGGTAATTATTCTTAACGATTGTTAGAGAGCCAAGGGAAAACAATTTAGAAAACAAATTAGAAACAAGTCTTGACAACTGCTTGTCAAGAAAATCGGTTTAAGGAATATCGATTAACTGTTTCTAATTTAATTTAAAAACAAAACAGTCTTTTAAAATATGGCTAAAATATGGCTAAAATATAAAAAAAAAATAAAGATAAAAATAAACATATTCATATCTAAAATAACCATTTGTTATGAGTATCATTAACATTAGGGGAAAAGAATCTTTAAAAACTATTTGTCAGAATATCATAAATTAGTTCGCGATATCCTCTTAATTTATTGGTCTAGAAAACCAAGATAAAAATTGTAAATTAATTACAATTTCTAGCAAGTGTCTGTTGAAAACATGATATACAAATTAAAGATGTATTCTAAACAACTCATAGGAGAAACTAGGTTAAGATCAGGAAACAGGAGTAGCTGTATACAAGTCCTAACAACTTCATATTTGCTTCTTATTACGAATATCAAAGGCCACTTTATAAAAAAAAGAAGAAAAAAAAACAAGTTAGAGAACCAAGCCTATTCAGAAAACATTTTAACAAGTATTTGTTAAGTTAAATATACAGCTTAACAAATCATTGTTCTAATTTTTAATGTACATGTCATATCTTACCAAATAATTCTGTCAATAAAAGTTTCTGTCTGTGTTTCAGATTCATATTTTATGGTCAGGAATGGAACAATTTTTAAAGATAGATTCAATAGTAAAATAAGCCTTTTCTTGCTTCTAGGTATGCTTTGATCAATAAGAATCTATTTGAATAATTTTGTATTAAGTTATATTTTTATAGACTGTTTTAATCATTGCAATCTTTCTCTTCTTAAGATGAATTAAAATGAATAAAAAACACTGGAAAATTATTATAAAAATCAAGTAATTCGATTACTTCACTGAAACAACAAAACACATTCTTGTGTAATTTATGCTTCACAGTTCTTCTTAAAAGACTTCTTTCAGGAGTGCAACACAAATGTTCGACTTACCTATTATCAAATATGAATTAATAAAAAAAGTGAAGAGTAGAATACTTCTGGATGACTTTTGATTGCATACAGTGCTTTCCAAATGATCGAAGTAACATACTGGTATCCTATAAAATATACTTTCAACTTCTAATTAGAGTTCATTTAATATTTTTAGTTAGTTTTGTGACATTAAAAGGGAACACCTTGTTTTTAAACTTGGTGTTGACAGAACTTTGAAATTTGGGGTTTTTATTTTAAATTTTACTATTGTCAGGAGTGTAACAAAACAATTTTATATTTATCAATGATCTTTATCTCTCTTCTCCAAAAAGTAATTGCAGAAAATGTTTGAGTAGTTGAAATTGTTTTATCTATCAACAAATGAAAGAGAGTTTTTGATATTTAAGGGCTAATTCACTGAAAAAAAAAAACTTAAAACCATAGCTTAGATATATATAAAAAAGCAAATAATCATTTTTTGAACTCAAGAAATTATAAAGAACTTCTTATCATTTATAAAAAATATCAAAACAACGTACCCATTTACAAACTTTAATTTGAAATTGTAACTGACCTGTGTTATAAGATTTAAAACAAAATTTAAATATGAGGGGAAAAAATATCAGATATCAGGAGTACCAAAAAAGGTGTAAATGTATAAGAATCACTGCGAAGTATTTTCTAAAAGAAAACTTGAATACCAAACTCTTCTTTGTTTTGACTTAGATTTGAAACGTTTACTAAAAAGACAGGATGTTAAATAAAGAAATCATATGTGTATGATATTTCTTTCATATCAAAACTTTTCAAATCATAAAGGAAACAATAAATGTAAATTAAAAATCAAAAAAATTAATTTTTGCACACATACAGAGACAAAAATCAAGATTTAAAGAATAAGAAAAAGAAAACTATAATTATGGTACAATAACCTTTTACATAAATTTCAATTATCTGGTAATTTTTTAAAAAATATTTTTTTGGAAACAATGCATCAAACAATCGATATTTTCTCTTGAGTGAATTTTTTATCATCGACGGAATGTTTTTGTTGTTTGTTAATTTGAACGCATATACCAAGCAAGGTCTAACGTTGACATTGATTACTTCTCCAGTGCCCTGAAAGGAATTCTTTTTTCTTCTGAATATTGCTAGTTCCATTTTCTTCTCCACAGAGGTTGCGGATTTTGCAAACAGAAAGCTTTGTGGTAGATATCTTTGATAGGACCATGCCTTCTTTGTCATATTTTCGCCAATCTTCTCCAAGTTGTTTTGTGAAAACCTGTAAATAGTGTGAAATAAAAAAGTTTCACTTAAACTGAACTGCTTTTTTCACTATATGTGACATTTAAATTTTTGTCAAAATGAAATGTCTGATGGAATAAATATAAATGAATGATTTCATTTTTTATGTTTATTTATACGAGTATATATAAAAAAGGTCTTGTTAAAAAATAAACTCGAAAAAAGTAAAATCATTTGTCTGCATATATAAATTTGTAATTATTGCATGCAAATCAATAAACTCAAGCCCATTATCCGGCATATAGGAAATCATCTAAGATCACTACCCATTCATCTACATTGCTTCTGCTCTCTCTCATACTTTTGATAACTCTTCAGGCAAGCAAATAACGCTGACGTAAAGCATGTATCATTTGCTTTTATTTTTTCAGCCCCAGTAGTAGGCTGCCTTGTGGGTCTAGTCTTTAATACAATGAAAATTAAAAAAAGAAAAAAAAGCTTTCAGCTTTTGAAATAGGCATTGTTGTCGTCTTTAAGTTTGTGGTATTTCAAAGCAAAAAAGGAGGGATGAGGGCGTTTCATCAATAGAAAAAACTGACCCATCAAATTGGAAAACAATTGGCAAAAATCCTATTCTATCAAGATGGGGGGGGGGGTCATTCACATTTTCAGGAAAATATTTAGAACAAAATCATGAGGGATTTCGTCATTGCTAAACAAAAAGAAAAGGGGGATACCAGTCTATGAATGAAGACTTTTATATGACAAAGACAAGAACTTTATTCTCATAAAACTAGTTACAGATGTAGAGAACAATAATTTAGACAAAAATATAGATGACAATGCACATTGCGTGGAAAAAATTAACCAGAACAGCGAACTCTCGAGATAGTTTTTTGTATAAATTTACAGACCCTTATCAACTGTTTCTTTTTGCGATTTTAAACAGATTCGGATTCACAGTATAATAATAAGATAAATATAATGACCTTGCTTGTTTTAATATTGCATCAGTACAATTTAATAAATAATGAAACTCATCACCAATTTCATTACAATTACATAGGTTTCGGAGTCTTAATTCTCTAGGAACACAGTGCCATCT